GTCCACGGAGCCTAGATTCATCTCTTGGTTTCTCACGCTCCTGAGAATCACTTGTCGCCATCACAATTTTGGCCAAGTTCAGAAAGGAAACTTTATCTTCTTACCAGTTTACTATTAACTAGTTATTTTTTTCTATCGACATCGAGGTATGCAACATAAAAACTGTCCACCCACGTCCCCCCAAAGTCACCTGGTGCCACCAGTGGCTTTCAGGCCACTCCTTAGGAAACGGGCTGAAGACAGGTCCTTAGGTGAGGGTGGGGAAATGTCCTGCTAGTTGTGTGTGACTGTGGTGAAGACTCGTCACGTTCTGGGATATCACACATGGCCTCATCTGTCAAGTGATGGGTTTGGACAACAGGACTTCTAACGACACCAGTGGCTCAGACAGGGAAGCTCACTGCGGGTGGTCCCGGTCAGCTGTGACACCCCGCACCTCACCAGCTGGGAGCCCAGGGCCCCCCACACCCGGTGGGGACCTCCAGGCACCGTGCGCAAAGGCAGCTTTGGGCCTTGAACTGGAGGAAATGACTGGGCATCTTCTTTATTGGGAGAGGAAAAAACCCCCATCGCCAGGATGATAGGCAGAGAGCAGAGAAGGGGGAGGACTGGGCCTCTGGGCTGGACACACCCTCGAGTCGCACTGGGAGGGTCAGCTGGTCCCATCACTGCAGACCAGAGTTGCACTGGGCTCACACCATTGAAGGGCGGCTGTTGCAGAGGCTGAGGGTCCCAGGGAGACCGTACACTTGGGCGCCAAGCAAGGATGCGTGAAATTGTGCACATTCAGATTGGCCAGTGTGGTAACCAGATCGGATCCAAGGTAAGGACAATCGGGTTACCGGTCCTGGCTGTACCACGGCCATCGGTGCCGCTAGCTCAGAAAACACCCTGGGTTAGCAGGGAAGGCAATGGGCCTAGCAGACTGCATGCACTGGCTAAATGTTTGATTTATTTAAACAATGCCTTTAATCAGAGAGACACAAGACATGGTAAAGGCTTAAAGGTTCATTTAATTCATATTAATTTCATCCCTGTGCATAATACATATGCATAATACACGTTGACCATTTTTACTTTTATTATGTTAAGCAATGAACTTTTCCTATCTAAAAACAGTAATTTGTCTCAAAATAGTTTTCCAGTGCTTGTTGGGAAACTTCTTACACTATATCACTACGATATCTTTCCCTCCCGTAGTTTGTTATAAAGTTAAAAAAGATCAGCTACTTTCCACTTAATATGCAACAGAAAAGTAAAGAGGTAAACCTAAACGTTTCGGGTACAGTAGTAGAAAGAATTAAATATACCTTCTGGAATATAAATGAGCTTTCGTCCCCCGGATGGCAGAGCTCAAGGGCCCCCACCCTCACTTTAAGATAACCAAGTGCTGAGTGTAACAGTCACCTGATTGTTCTCACCGCTATTTTGAAATTACAAGTCTGAGCGATATTAAAACTGTCTTCGGAATTTTTTTTTAATTATAGTAAAACACACAGCATAAAATTTACCATCTTAACCATTTTTACGTGTATCGTTCAGTGTATCTTGCAAAGCTGAAACTCTGTCCCCATGAAACACTAACCCCCATTCCCCTCCCCCAGCCGTGACACCCACCCACTCTCTGTCTCTACGATCTCGACTCCTCGAGGGACCTCCTGCAAGCGAGACCACACAGTACTTGTCCTTTGTGCCTAGCTTGTTCCACTTAGCATAATGTTTTCAAGGTTCATCTCTGTGGTAGCAGGGGTCAGAATAGCCTTCCTTTTTTTCTGGCAGAATAATATTCCTTTGTGCGGATACATCACGTTTTATTTATCCATTCATTCCTGAATGGACTCTCGGATGGTTTCCAACTTTCGGCCATTGTGAATAACGCGACTCTGCAAAAAGTGAAGTCTTTGAATGCAGGTGCTTCCAACCAGGGGCAGAGAATGTTGCTGCTTGAAGAGAAGCCATCCTCCTCCCATGCCAGAGATAAGGCGTCAGCACTGACACTCGCAGAGAAGTCGAGGCTCTGCAGCTGGACGATAACACGGAGAGAGGACGCAAGGGCGTGCGGGTCTCCACAGGGTCTGAGCTCTTACTCCAGAACCGTGTGGCCTGCTGGTTAGAGCCCTGGCGACTGCTTATTATTTGGGGCCGTAAGAAGTTTAAGTCCCATCTAGTCTGTGGTACCACAGAACAACTTTACTCTTCCACAGCCTGGTGCTTTACTGTAGATGGACTTATTGAGGAGAGCATGGCCAGAGCCGTCATGTTCAAGGGCTGGCTGGGACTTCACGGCCCTGTACTCTGTGCTTCTCCAGGGCAATGGCAAGAAGCCACCTCGGTTACTGTTTCCATGCCAGGAGCCTGGCTCACAGCTATGTTAATAAACACTGTATATGCGGTCAGGAGTGTAACCTGTTCCACGCAGTTACGAGAGTGAGCTGTGCACGATTTTGAACCGCGTGCCTCTCTGGTCGGTGAAGACGTACACTGTCTAAATCGTGCACAGATGCCATAGTGATGGGCCTTGGGAAAGCGGCATGAAAATCCATCTCCAAAGTGAAGGGAGACGACTGTGAAGTCAGAGGAGGTGTCAATGCTCACGTCACGGGATCTATGCTTGACTAGCGTGAAGCGCTCTCAGGTGAAGTTAGAGACGCACTGTCCGGTGTGAAAATCTAAAATGACAGCAGAAGTGTACGCAGGGCCTGGGACCCGACAGGAGCAAAACCTAACCAAACAGTCCGTGTTGACTGACATCTCATTTGAGGGGATCGGGTAGGCATAAAATGCAGTCTTCACGTTCATGCTCAGCAGAGGCGCAGTGAACTAATGTCACAGAGATGGCTTTTATGAAAAAGACCAAAAGGGGTATCTCGGGAAGGGTCAGTCAGGGGGACCCAGGGACGCGGCCTGGCTCATGTGCCCTTCTGCTTCACCTGCGAACTTGCTGGAGCCAAATGGCCTTTTTGGGGTCCCTCCCCACTGACCCCCCCTTCTGCTTGCAGTTCTGGGAGGTGATTGGTGAGGAGCATGGGATCGACCCAGTGGGCAGCTACGTTGGGGACTGTGCCCTGCAGCTGGAGAGGATCGGCGTGTACTACAACGAGGCCCACGGTAGGACGTGGGGCTCCGGGCGCAGGGGCATCGTTCCTGGGGGCCACATGGCGTCGTGAGCAATGCCCAGGCGGAGCAACGAGGGACGAGGGCAGGGACTGGCCAGGAAGTCACTAAGTGGGGGTACATGTCTCGGCATGAGCAGGTTAGGCACCAACCCTCCTTTTTGGTTTTAAAGTGAAAACCAGAATTATTTCCAATAGGAGCAGAATCTCTGTTATTGGCAACAGAACAAAACAATGCTAGAAAAAGAAATGTTAAGCTATATTTTATAGGTTTGTGTGATTGTCGTTGGGGCCGATTATGGCTTCAAATCTCCACCAAAGACAGCTTCTAGAATGTTTATTTTTTATTTTTTTGGATCCAGTATCACAAGGTTCTACTGCATGAAACGTTAACTTCCAGGAGAGCAGCAGCTTGCTGACTTCCTCCTGTTCCTCCACACAGGTAGGAAGTTCGTGCCGCGCGCCGTCCTCGTGGACCTGGAACCGGGGACCATGGACAGCATCCGGTCCAGCAGACTGGGGGCCCTCTTCCAACCGGACAGTTTCATCCACGGTAGGTTTTTCCGGAAGGCTCTACCGGGACGAGATGGGGATGCCTCCCGGTGGCGCGCTTCCCTCCCGCCCCTCCCCCAACTCTGAGAAGGTGACAGGAGCCCCGTCTGCCACAGGCCACTCTGGGGCCGGCAACAACTGGGCCAAGGGCCACTACACGGAGGGCGCGGAGCTGCTGGAGCGCGTGCTGGACGTGGTGCGGGGCGAGGCCGAGGCCTGCGACTGTCTGCAGGGCTTCCAGCTGACCCACTCGCTGGGCGGCGGCACGGGCTCCGGGATGGGCACGCTGCTCATGAACAAGATCCGCGAGGAGTTCCCGGACCGCATCCTGAACGCCTTCAGCGTCATGCCGTCGCCCAAGGTGTCGGACACGGTGGTGGAGCCCTACAACGCGGTGCTGTCCGTGCACCAGCTCATCCACAACGCCGACGCCTGCTTCTGCATCGACAACGAGGCCCTCTACGACATCTGCTTCCGCACCCTGCGGCTGGCCACGCCCACCTACAGCGACCTCAACCACCTGGTGTCCTTGACCATGAGCGGCATCACCACGTCGCTGCGCTTCCCGGGCCAGCTCAACGCCGACCTGCGCAAGCTGGCCGTGAACATGGTGCCCTTCCCGCGCCTGCACTTCTTCATGCCCGGCTTCGCCCCGCTCACCGCCCGCGGCAGCCAGCAGTACCGCGCCCTGTCGGTGGCCGAGCTCACCCAGCAGATGTTCGACGCCCGCAACGCCATGGCCGCCTGCGACCCGCGGCGCGGCCGCTACCTGACGGCCGCCTGCATCTTCCGGGGCAGGATGTCCACCAAGGAGGTGGACCAGCAGCTGCTGGCCGTGCAGACGAGGAACAGCAGCTGCTTCGTGGAGTGGATCCCCAACAACGTGAAGGTGGCCGTGTGCGACATCCCGCCCCCGGGACTGAACATGGCCGCCACCTTCATCGGCAACAACACGGCCATCCAGGAGCTGTTCAGCCGGGTGCGCGAGCACTTCTCGGCCATGTTCAGGAGGAAGGCCTTCGTGCACTGGTACACGGGCGAAGGGATGGACGTGCACGAGTTCGTGGAGGCCGAAGCCAACATCCACGACCTGGTGTCCGAGTACCAGCAATTTCAAGATGCCAGGGCGGTTCTCGGGGCGCACGAAGGGGCCGAGGCGGGGGCGGACGCGCAAGCGGAAAGTAGGGAACAGTAGCCGGGCGGGGAGCTGCGTGAGCGGCAGCTGCAGGGTGCGGTGGCTTGCGTCCTGGGCTGCAATCCCAGGCCCGCTCTGCTCGGCGCAGCGGGTTGACACCCACATGGCCACTGGTACCAGCTTTGACACAGGACTGCGGGGAGGGGGCCGGGCACGTAATGATAGGCGTTAGGGTCTTTGGCTGGCACTTACTAACACGAGCAGTTTGGTGTTCAACACACTCTACGAAGCCTTCTGATAGCAAAGCGCATCCCTTGGAAAGCGCTCCCTTTGACGACGTTTGGCGGGTATTCAGCATTGGCACAGCAGTGCGGGCGTCAGGGCGACACGTGGCCGTGCGGGGGGCCACTGCAGTTGTGCTAACTTGACGCTATTTAGCGGCGCCGAGGAGCACCCTGCCTCCTCGCCCCGCTGGCCTCGAAAGCCAGGTCTAACCGGTGGGCAGGGAGCGGACTGTGTGGGCCCCGCACACAAGCCAGCGTGCCAGCGGAAAGGGAAAAGGGACGAAACACCCACCACAAAACTGACCCAAAACGCGACAGGCGCGACTCAGGAGCTGCAGTCCCCCCCTTTATTTCTGAATGGCTGGCCTCTAGCACCCATGTCGGTATGCTTTCAGTTTCTTATCAGTGCCAGACTCCGGGAATTCATCAGTCGCCGTCCGTTGTCCTCGTTGAAGGTCATTTTGAAATGCCCTTTTCACTTCCAGTGATCAGCTTCGGAGACGCTGCTGCTTCGGGAAGGGCACAGCGTACACTCGGCAACCGTTCAAATACAAGAAGCAAGCAGTGTCCTTCCCGGTTACAGAGGACATCATCTCATTAGGGAACTTTTACAGTTCAAATTAATTTGCAGAAGTTGCCATAAATGTTTGCATGATGACATAGCTTTAACCATTACACGATTTTAATCTGCTCACATTACAACAGAAGCAAATACACAAGAGTGTGATCAAATCATCCATAACTTCTTAATTACAGTTTACCTATTTCGGACATACAGCACCACGGTCCCTCCCAGCACCATGAGGGTTTTAATGGCCTTCTAGAATTAGCACTGAGCTGTATGCTACTTGATTCATGGGTTGCCGGCAATGGGAAGATGCTCTGACCCTCAGCGCAGAAAATATTTACTTGTAGGCAACGGGGTTCTCACCTCTCGGTCGGCTTGTGTCAGCTACAATAATGATAAGGTAGAGGAGGATGGATGCCAGTAGCTCATTCTGAGAAATTTTGCTCTTTTCACAAATGCATCATGAGGAAGTAACTGAAATATGCACTAACAGCAAATTAAGTCTTCTTGTTGGTATCGTGGCAAGCCTTCTATTTACAAAATAAAAGAAAAAGTTTTAAACGCTTTCTACCTATTCAAGATTGCAAAAGTAGGTTTAATAAGAAACTGCACCTATATACTCTTAGTTTGAAGTTCCTAACTTCCTTAGATGCTAAAAAGACTTACAACCTGTGGTTTTAAAAGAATTTACACACAAGCTTTCTCCAGCACTTTCCTTCCCAAATCTAAAAAGACAAATAATGCAAGGAAGGATAGAAATCTCAATTAAAAAAACTGCCGATTTATATTACTGCAAAGATTTTTTTGTTTGCTCAATAGTAATCATTAAAGTACAAAAAACCTTAATTTTAAATGGTGAAATTGCTTTATTTCAGACAAATAAATTCTTTTTCTTGGAGTCTAACCACCCAGACTGATTGAGTAGTTAAAAATATTTCAAAATGTATCTTACCAGCCTACTCTTTCGTAGGGTAGAAACAGATTAAAAAGAAAAAAACAAACAAACAAACAAAAAAAACCCATTAGTAACCCAAAGAAATGTCCCGATTCTGAAGGGCCTATTCCTTTAGCAGTATGGTTGCTACGGTGACACTGGCCTCTCAGAGACCCACACAATAGAATCAGAATTTTAGAGCTTGTCCGATCCTTTCACTTCATACACGAGAACGTGGCATGACCAAGAGACTGACGATGCCCTCAACGGTCACCCAGCTAGTTAGTGAGACACCCGCAAGCAGATCTGATCGAGGCCCCTGGCGATCTGGACAGTTCTGCCAGCTACCCAGCAGGGCTGGATGCAGAAAGTTTGTTTCATCGGTTACCAGTTCAGGATTTGTTTTCAATCGCAGAGGAAGAGCCCTAAAGAATCTCTGCTGGCAGTAAACCTGTCTTTTATTCAGTTACTTTAATCCCTGCCATGTCACAAGCCCTGTCCCTGAGTCTCACCTCTAATTATCACATCCGCCTCCCTAATAAGTGACTTAGCTCTAATTACTTGGCTGGAAATAATTTAGCCCTTTGCCTATCACTTACTTTATTCATCTGGAATCAAAGAGGCCTGACAGCCGTGTGACTCATTTACTCCTGTCTGTATGAAAGATGCTTCTTAGTACTCATCCCTTGGGAAGGGAGGACTGACAGACAACTCAGGTGTTTGACTTCAAAACAGGACAACAGCCCGAGGCAAAGGACTCAGGCAGCTCATCAGCGGCTGGCCAGTGCCCAGCGCCCGGCTCCCCCTCGCCCACTGGCTGCTTCTCCTCACATGCCCAGAATGAAACAAAACCGAAAGGTCAGGAAGTCGCGTCCCGAAGCCGAGAACAGGCATTTTCCTGGGCTCCTCCTGGGCATCGCCAGGTGGCCCCGACAAGAGCTGGTCATGTACACAAGCTCAACAGTGTTTTAAAAGCTCCTGTTCCATCTTTTTTCTCCACTCCCCAACAGTTCTATCAAGCAGTTAACTTTGGAATGGAGTTTTACTTGGCCAAGTGCTTCCAAGTTTTAAAGAAAGATAAAAACAAAACACTTGCAACAATTCTTCACCCGTAAATATTTAATGAATAAACGAATCACCCTGCAAACACCATTTAACTGTGGTGGGTTATGGGGCCTGAGACCGCAGTCAAGAACCTTCGATTTTAACTTTGGCTCGGCCAGCTAACTCGAAAAGCCAGCTACTGAACAGCTTTGCCTTGTTGCCTGTTTAGAGAAATGCTCCCAGGACAGAGAGATTCACTTATAAAACAATGTGAAACGCTTTTTGTGCTTAAATTCCAAATCAATAGTTCGTCTCTAAAGGTTTTAAGTGCTTGATAAAACGAATACGATTTAGTCTTTTTTCTTCTAACCTAAGGTTTTAGTTGTTTTCACTTTGGCTCCTGGCCAAGCAGCACTATGTGGAGGCAGTGCCACCTGCACCTAGGGGCAGGGCTGGTGGGCGACAAGCCATCGACCACTGACACAGCTTCTGCGGTCCGAAGAGAAGGGACAATGAGAGTGCCTTGATGACACAGCCTAATTGTGTCAGTTAATGTCACGAATAGAGGACTTGCTACTTTGAGACACTTGCAAACTGTTTTCTGGATCCCTTTGGTCCCTCGATATTAAACCTGTCCCCCCCGCCGCAACCTCGGTTCGCATGATCAGAATCCCGCATCTGTGCAGACGGTTCCCACAAAGAAAGAAGTCCAACGGCGTGCGTGAACCATACTTCAATTTATTGACGTTGTCAATCTATGAACGAGACATGTACTTTTTTCCCCATGAAGTGAGGTCATTTTCGATCTGCCATAACACGTGCCCACACATCTTCTCCTTGGACACGGAGCGTCTCAAGCTGTAGTTGGGGTCTGGGAGGAAAAAAGAAAATGCAAAAGTTGCCAGCCCTTCGTGTTTTCTTCAAATCCCAACGTGACAGGAGAAACCACTTTCTGAGAACGAACTGCGCACTGTAGCCATGGCTCGGGCTCTGGGCTGCAGAGCGCAGCTTCACGGCCAAGGCGCTGACCTCCCCGCTAAGTGAAACCGCACGCCCGCCCAGCAGTAAACCGACCACGCCGGCTCCAAAAGACAGCCCCCCTCCCCCGCCCGTGCTGACGTGCAGAGGCCGCGTCCCTTGCAGGACACGTGGAGGGGCCAATGTTCTGTTTCTGGGAGCTGGATGCTGCTTCCTGACCCCGAGCATATCACGAGGTCAGGGGAGCTGGATGCGGAATCGGGCTCGACTATGCCACAGAGGGAGGTGAAGTGATTTTCTCAAGTTCACTGTTAACAACAAAACCACCCACCAGAAAATCATTACGCGGAATTATGAGATTAGACAGAGAGACCCTAGAAAAAGGGCTAAATTCGAAACACTGCATCTCTAGACTCGTAATAAAACATTTACTAAATCAAGATGAAGTGAAAAGTGCTTAGGGGGAGACAGTTCCAGTAAGAAAGGCTGCTCATGACCACGAGCTGCCAAAGGATTCATATTTCTCACATTTCCCTGCTACTGTGGGCCTAAAGCTTTTTAAAAAGCAAAACAAAAAAATTAAGCTGGAAAAACATCTCTGGTAATGAGCCTTCCTTATCTTTGAAATGACGACGTCGAGAAAGTGGTTTGGAGATCAGATCACTTCAGTAGTTTGGTGCATGAAAGTCTGAACTGGTCAATGGTGCAAAACTGTCTTTTACTGTATAGAAGGTAACTTTACATTGCCAACATCTCTGGAGATGTGAAATGAGCCGCACTGTCTGAAGGGGACGGTGAGTCTGCTGCAGGCTCCCGCAGGCTATGCTGATCGACAGAGCCGCAGGACCCCTGGTGTCCTGGCGGCCCTCACGTTCAGGCAGTGTGATCTGTGAGGACGTTATCAGGTGTGTGGGGGGGGAATAAAAACACAAAGAACTAGAATTTCTCGTGCTCCTGAACTGTTATGTAACTCCGACAGCAATTACCGAAGCGGGGAGCTTATCCTCCAAATTATTTGATTTTGTGCAAACGAAACAGGTTTAATTAAAATAAGATGGCTCTCTAACCAAGCTTTGCCAAATGAGCTGAAAATCAATGTGCCAATTACTTCTGCTTGTCAGAGCCCAAAACAACGTTCTTGTATTATGCCACGGGCCTTCTAAAACCTGCATGCGTTAAATTATCATCCCACTAACTTCCACATCTGCTGATTGACCGAACAATGGCCAAAATGCAAAACTAAAATTACTCTGATTTTTAAAAAAATACTCTAAAAATGTAAGATACAACTCTTCTAAGCGAATGAGAACTTACAGATTATTCCTTTTTCGCTTTGACAATTTTTATGCTGCTCCCAGCAGTCTTCTCGGCATTTGCTTTGAACTCTGTTTTCAGCGCATCTCTCACTGCTTTTGCACAGATCTGGGAGTATCGGATGTAGCTGGGAGAAAATGAGACAATATAAAGTTAATTATCAATGATCCAGGCCAGAGTGGTTGTGTGGCTGTTTTTCTTCCTATATTTTTTTGGTTTGATTGTACAGTATTATAAAACTGGATTTGAAAATGACTAATGCAAAAAAGAAACTCTATACAAAGAAAAAGACTTCAAAGAAATGTACCAAAATCTTAATGTGATCTTTTACTTTTCTACTTTGTACTGTTTCTCTTAGATACATATTACTTTAAAAAATGCAGTTATTTAAAAAAAATCCCATAGTACAGGAAAGGAAATAGACCAAAATGTTCACGAAGTCTGCAACGTGAGTGATTTCCCCCATTGGTCTACTTGCAATTTTTTCTTATATTATGCTTACGAGGTAAAGTATATGTAATTGAAATAGAAAAAACCTATTTTGAATGAAAAGTTCTTCCTCTGATTAATTATTTAAAGGTTTTCCTGAGAACACTGGATTCTGTTTCATAAATCTGCCATTAAAAATACTTCCAATCAAGGTTTCCAAATTAAACTGAAAAGTCCTCAGAGAACATCATCAATTCTAGCAAAATATCTAACAGTCTGCTTCCTGTTTGGTAGATGGACTCCCATCAACATCTTATTTTCCAGAAGATGGCAGCTCACTTTTTACACTTTTTGAAAACAGGAAGGAGTGGGGGAAGGGTGCTGCTGTCTATTTTGTCATGTTTCAGATTTGGGTTTCTTTTTTTTTTGGCCAAGAGGTAGGCGTTCCAATGCCTGCTTCCACTCTTACTAATTGGGTGACCTTCAGGCTGTTCAATCTTTTCAGCTAGTTTATTCACCCAGAGAAACAATAGAATAAAACAGAAGGATAATTATACTTGGCCCACTGGTGGGTGGGAGGAGGAGAAACAGAGTGTGAAAAGCATGAATCACCACGTTCCTCACATAGTAGGTGCTTAATAAATGGTACCGTTACTGGAACAATCATCCTTCCAACACTACAAAACTTTGCTTGACCTCACAAGTCAGGAAACGTGGGTTGCTCGGCTGTCTCACAGGCCTGTGCCCATGAACTGCCACCACTAGAAGGTGCTACTTTATGCAGTGAAGTAATAAGGTGTGTCACCTGGGGCAAGGTACTACGCTCAGCTGGGTGCACGGGCGAAGAAATCAGGTGTCACAGATATTCTAGACCGACGTGTCCCATTAGGTGCTGTGTCCTCAAATGGGTCCCATGTCTGACCTTCCCAGGAGCCACCACTCACCTGTGCGCAGGGCTATCTACTTGTTACCGAGGGCTTTCACCCGTTTTACTGATAAGGAAACCCAAGAGCAACAGGAGTTAATTTAAAAAAAAAACCAAACACGTGTGTACCATCACAAAAGGCCCTTTGATGCCCCAAAGACCAGAAATGCTGACAGTGCTTGTGACAAGAGAACTGTCCTCAACCCTAGTTCCCAAGCTTTACGTAACAGAAACGGGGTGTCATTCAGAAGGACAAAGGTCGCGCACGGAGGAGCCGTCTTTGAGAAGGCGTCGCACCTGCCCGGCGCGGACGTGGCGGCGGCCCGGCCTCGGCACA